GTGAATCCGACATCCACAGATGCAGGATATTTATCAGATCCACACAAAGCTCGATCACAAACAGGATACGTATTCACGATTGGAGGTACTGTTATATCATGGCGTTCTCAGAAGCAGACGCTTGTAGCAACTTCTTCAAATCATGCTGAAATCATCGCACTCCATGAAGCGAGTAGAGAATGCGTATGTCTACGATCAATAAGTCGACACATTCAACCAAGTAGTGGAATTCGTCTGAATACGGAGCCAACTATCTTATATGAAGACAATGCTGCATGTGTTGCTCAGACAAATGAAGGTGATGTGCGTAGAATTTCACTTCAGAACTTTTACCTGAAAGACTACACGTTAAACTGCAAGTGCACAGTAATCAGAGTAGTATTTAAGAATCGATTCCACAGAGAGTGTAGCTACAGGTTATTGAATTCAATGAAAAGATCTAGCTAAGACAAAACTAAACTTTGGGGTTTTGGTTTTGGGTTTCCTAATAACTAATGCAATGAAATGAGAAAGCAAATAAATGAAAGCTAAGATGATAATCGGTTGTAAACTAATATGACTAAGGCGTTGGGCGTTCTGGAGTTTCTCCGAGAATCATGGTTCTCGATTAACTAGGGTTTAGATCTCTAGGGTTTTTATGTTTTTATTCTAGTTCATAACTACGAAAGGCGAATGAACGAGTTATCCTATGTTATAGAATAAGCCGGCAAATCTCCCTATACTCCGTTACTCAACTGACGCAGGCAACGACGCATAGATCGACGCATTAGGGTTGGATTCGCTAAGTACTCTAAGTCATGTTACTCAACTTACGCAAGCAACAACACAAAGGATAGGTAACACTATGTCCGAGATTAGGTTTACCCGATTAAAGCTCCTAACCTCTTGGATCAGCGTTTGGTCATCAATCCAAACACATGCATTAGGTAAAAGATGTCCCAAAAGAATCTAAGTATGAACAAAATAATAGATCTATAAACCTAATATGATTTGAACCATGAATCCCCTTTGAATCACCCCATAAAACCCAACAAAGAAACCTACTCGCTCATGATGCAAAGAAACGACATAGAGATGAAGTAGAAAAGCATAATAAACGAATATGAATAAATAAAGGGGGTTCAAAGGAAACTTCTCTAGTGTCACAGAAGATACTTGTCTCCCCAAAAGTCTTGAAAGAAAGAGAAGAAGAAAGAGTAGAAGAGAAAACAATGAAGAATAAAAGAGAGAAAGCTTCAAAGGATGACTTCTTTGGGATGCAAGAGCTTCGACGAGGTTGAGCTAGGAGAGCTGAGAGTCTCGTCGATGGAGGCTGCGAGATCTAGGTTTAGGAGGCGGTGAAGAGCTGTGAAGAGGCTGTAGGGTTTCTTCAACTTGTCTCGGTATTTTTAGGCTTCGATTAGGTCAAGGGGCAAAACCGTCATTTTCCATGGATTAGGTTAAATGAGGCACGAATTTCTGGACAGGGTACGACGTGTGATGACCGGGGTGGAGTGTGAGAAGCAGCTCGGGCACGGGCACTCACGACCGGGGGCTCCAGGAGGCGCCGGTCCGGTCACAAGCCTGTCTGGCTGGTCCGGGACATGTCTTCACTCTTCAGGGCATAACTTCCGATTGGCTCGTTGAAAAGCTCCGATTCCACTTCGAGGTGAAACTAGATTCTCGTAGATTTCCATAGCCACCAAGATCTTGTGATTTGGTAATTGGGAAGACCTCGAACGGACGCCATACTTCTGAGGTACAGAAACTGTCTTGAAACGGGATTTGATCGTCTTTTACTCCTTTTTGCTTGAAAACACATTATTCATTCTTGAAGCATAAATACTTGAAATCATCCTTGAAATCTCCAATATCTCCTGTTTTCTCCATGAAAAACCTAAATAAAACATAGTAAAAGTAGGCTAAAATACGATGTTATCAGAAGGATATATCAAAAGCGATAGAACCAAACATATCCCTCCGAAGTTCTTTTCATACACCCAAGAGATCGTGAAGAATAAAGACATTGAAGTAAGATATGTCCGATCATCCGAGAATTCTGCAGATCTCTTCACAAAATCATTGCCCACCTCTATGTTCAGGAAACATGTTCATAATATTGGAATGCGTCGTCAACAAGACTTGTAAGTTATGATCCTGATCATTCGAGGGGGAGCTTGCGCGGTTGCACTCTTTTTACCTACTATGGTTTTTCCCACCGGGTTTTCCTAGAAAGGTTTTTAATGAGGCAACATAAGATCTTACGCAAGAGACATAGTGACACTGGTCTCCAAGGGGGAGTGTTATAAAAGTCGTAAAAAGGAGGAATCTTAAAGTCGCAAAAAGATGCGCACATGGGTTAAACGTTTCGTTGTTTATTAATTTATGTGGAGTCAACCGTCACTATGCATGCATAGTAATTTTTTTTTTTACGTTTATATAAACGAACGATTTCGTTCGTTGTAAAACACACTTCATACTTCAATTATAAGAGAAGTAATAAGCATCTCTTTCTCTCTCGTCTTGTACTATTCAGTATCCCGATCTTTTTGCGAGTATAAATTATTTCTCCATTATTTATATTTATATACATCATAAATAAAATAATTATTTATAACAAAAACAAGATTTTATGAAAGTTTTTTCTTTTATTATATGGTAGACTAGGTGACTTTGTTATCATGAAAGGGAAAGGTTGGTCACACATAAAAGTCTCATAGAGCCAAGACAAACATATTTCATTTAGTAGTTAATACTACATTATTGATCGTTCTAGACAGGGATGTTTAACCCCATTCGCTTTTAAAAAAAAACATATTAAATTCAGGGTATAATATTTTACTTCTTAGAGGATAATTAACCCCATCAACATAATATTGAATCTCTGTCAATGGGACAACAAACGCGTGGAAAACCTTCGGCCAATAAGACCATTTTCATTGAGAGTGTCTAGGTGAGACACTTTTCAATAAAACAGAATAAAAATTTTAAAAAAGGAAGAGAGAGGACATAAACGTTGAGAAACTCTAAGACACTCATTTTTACAGTTGTTTTCTTCTGATTGGTTTAAATAAACAATTAAATAATAAAAAAATTAATATTATTTTATTTGTCAGACATTCGACAGAGTTTCTGACCGATGAAGATGCTCTTATAACCTTAGTCTCTTATTTGATTTTGAGATGTCGCCAAGTCAAATTTTATTGGGTCGACGATGTACTTTCCCTCAAAACTTTCATGTAGCACCAGTTCCATCTAGACTTTCACCTTCTTTTTATTTCTACCCACAATCAAAGTTCTAAACTTATTTTCACATAGAATTAAATTTGAAAATAATAAATAATTAAATAATAATAAAATTAATATTATTTTATTTGTCAAACATTCGACAGAGTTTCTGACCGATGGAGATGCTCTTATAACCTTAGTCTCTTATTTGATTTTGAGATGTCGCCGAGTCAAATTTTATTGGGTCGACGATGTATTTTCCCTCAAAACTTTCATGTAGCACCAGTTCCATCAAGCCTTAACCTTCTTTTTATTTCTACCCACAATCAATAAAGTTCTAAACTTATTTTCACATAGAATTAAATTTGAAAATTTGTATATATAGAAGTTGGTTTTACTGGTTTACGACCTATAGATCTTATATCTAATCAAATGACATATCTGGTTCATTTAATTTTAATATACCCATTTTTACAGTTGTTTTCTTCTGATTAGTTTAAATAAACAATTAAATAATAAATAATTAAATAATAAAAAATTAATATTATTTTATTTGTCAGACATTCGACAGAGTTTCTGACTGATGGAGATGCTCTTATAACCTTAGTCTCTTATTTGATTTTGAGATGTCGCCGAGTCAAATTTTATTGGGTCGACGATGTATTTTCCCTCAAAACTTTCATGTAACACCAGTTCCATCTAGACTTTCACCTTCTTTTTATTTCTACCCACAATCAAAGTTCTAAACTTATTTTCACATAGAATTAAATTTGAAAATTTGTATATATAGAAGTTGGTTTTACTGGTTTACGACCTATAGATCTTATATCTAATCAAATGACATATCTGGTTCATTTAATTTTAATATACCCATATTAAAATGTGGTCGGCTTTTGGATTGCTTGTTTTTGTTTTGTTCAAATCTTTTTTTTTTTTTTTTTTTTTTGAATAACCGCTGGTCTCCCAAAGGCTTCCTAGGCCCAAGGACTAATCCCACGAGGCTGGCAATTCTCCTATGTAAACCTGCCAGTGGCCGTGCCTCGAACCCTGGTGGCGGAAGTCACAGCTGTGACCCTTTTAACACTAGGCCACAAGGCCCGGTTTGTTTTGTTCAAATCAGATCCGACTGATCGGATTAACACTACTTTCACCAAATAACTCATGTTCTTACCCTATATACCTATTCGCTCACATGTTTCAAAACACTTTAAAATATGCTTTATAATTATTTTTTTTTAAAAACACACTTTCTAAAACTGTCGTTTTCAGCCAGGTTTCTATCGGTTCACCTATTTTCTCTTTTGTAGAGAGACGATAGTGATTGTTACCGGCTTCACTAGAATATGATTTATTTTCTATGGCTTGATCATGATTTTCTAGGCATGTATAATATTTTTGGCGAGAGGTTTCAGTAAAAGTGTAATTGATAATGTATATGTACCGACATCAATAAATATATCATATCAATAATGATCATCCAAATCTTTTTTTTGTTATGATAAGAACTTGGTAAACGTGAATCACTTCACAATTCAAAATAACCGTAAACTCTTTGGATCGACAAAACCCGAACCATAGCCAATCCCTACTATACGGGATAACATGACTTAGTGGAGTCGAAATCTGGTGGAGAAGGCGGAATCAAATTGACTTAACCACTTGACTGAAAGCACATCCCCATAGCCATTATTTAAAAGAAAAAATATCCAATTTGTAACATAATAGTGCAAGATATATGATGGAATTGTGGTAAAATAAATCATGTTTTTACGTTTCAACCGTTTCATTTTCTCTATATAAACGAAGGAGACCAGAAGTGTAAGTATATATGCATAAACCAAATTAAGAAGAAACAAAAAACACACTTCACTAGCTACCAAAGGAAGAGAGATAGAGAGAGAGGGAGATGGCGACTTCAGGAACATATGTGACGGAGGTTCCTTTGAAAGGATCAGCGGAGAAACACTACAAGCGGTGGAGGAATGAGAACCACCTCTTCCCCGACGCCATCGGTCACCACATCCAAGGTGTCGCCGTCCACGACGGCGAATGGGACTCCCATGGAGCCATCAAGATTTGGAACTACACATTAGGTAAAAATACACGTCTGAAAACTAAGGTTTTGAAAGTATGAAGAGATTCATTTATCAAACGTTTTGACCATATGTAAACTCATCCTCTCTGTAAATTTGATTAACTTTATTTATGAACCCGTGAAAATTTTATTTAGACAACTTTCCAAGATTTACGGATTTTTTTATAATTTTTGGTACGGAGTGATTCTTCCGAAAAGCAAAGTAATTTTCAACGTCTATGGAACAACCATACGTAATCTTGCCACTTAAAGCATCGGAAACAATCTTTGTGGAAGAATTAATCTCTTAATTAACCTAAACATATTTGAAGATGGGAAACCGGAGGTGTTCAAGGAGAGGAGGGAGATAGATGATGAGAATATGGCGGTGACGTTCAGAGGACTAGAAGGTCACGTAATGGAGCAGCTTAAAGTGTATGATACCATCTTACAGTTCATTCAAAAGTCGCCTGGTGATATCGTCTGCAAGATCACTATGACCTGGGAGAAGCGAACGGATGACTCGCCTGAGCCCAGCAACTACATGAAGTTGGTCAAGAGCCTCGCTGCTGACATGGACGCCCACGTTCTCAAAGCCTAAAAACCCCCCTCTCACGTAAACCCATCATCATCGTGTGTGTGTGTGTATCTTTTATGATGTTTTCAATATAATAAATGGGGTTTTGCATGTATGGTTTCATCTACTGTAATATGCTTTGATGTTGTTTATTATGGTCTGGGTTTCATGTATGTTCATTCATGTATCCTTGATGATTAATGATCATAAAGAGTAAGTGACCAATATTGTCTTTATTAGTGTTTCTCTATCTACTATACATTTTTGCAACACCTTTTGGAGTTCCTAATCAAATTTTGTTTAATTTTGACCCGGAATTAATTGTTTTTGACCCGAATATATGTCAATTGGATCCTTCCGATTTTGATATTTTACCCGACTTTGTTTCAATAGCAGATTTCCTTAATTGATATTCTCTACATTCAAAGCAAACAACATTTACTCTCTAATTAATTATTGAAAGATATGGAGAATATTTAAAGTAAATAAGTCTTCGGGATCACATAATTTGCTATAATCTCGCTTAAGTATTTTGTTTCCTTATTAGAAAGATCTACGAATTCTTCAATCTAATGCAATCATACCTATATTGTTCACAATCTCCGAAAAATCCTACTATTATTTAGCAATAACTTAAACTTCCCTAAAACAATGGTAACATTCCTTGCCAAATAAATGAATAATCCTTATTTGTTAGTCATATCTTAGATATTGTGCTTGCTGGCTAAGACTTTCAACACACGAGAATGCCAAAACCCTAAGCTTCTAAGTTATCTATAAATACCGTCATCTCTTTCACATTCTTCTAACTCATCAAACAAGTACCTCTTTTCATCAATCTCTTTACATCACCAAACTTTGAAATGACTCCTTCCTTCGCTTACCTCAGGTATGTTTAACTCATCCTACAACAAAGAAATTTGTCTTGAATCCATTAGTGTTGTGAAAATTAAGAAACAAACTAAACTAAGCAAGGCAGATTTGATGAACGATCAAGGTGAAAAAGAGAATGTGAAGGAAGAGAAACTTAATGATGGCAAGATGAAGAATTAGAAGATGAAGGAGTGATCTATTCCTATTTATGTTTTCAATATTTATGTTCATCTTTAAAATTGGTTTTCACATAACCTTAAATTTCAGCATCTTTACTTTAGACTTACTATGAAACAAAGAGCATACGATATAACTAGACTCTTCCACAATTGATGAAATCTAGAAGTCCAAATTTGCAACAAGAATTAAACAAGTCTTTAGTTTATACTTTGCATATCAATTTCTACCAATTGACACGGAAATCATCAACAAAAGAGATCAGGAAAAGGATTACAGTCCTGAACTTTGAATTTTTAATCATTTTCCTCTAATCTTACCAATTTCAGATTTGAAAATGGAACATTATTATTTGAGTTTTATTACCAAACTAAAGATTCTAAGAGATAACTATGTATTATATCATCATGTATGATCAGATTCATACTTAGCGAGAGCGAGAGAGAGAGAGAGAGAGAGTTATTGAGCTTGAAAATCTAACCTTCTTTCACAAACGATGATTACTTTCAGGAGATGCCTGGGTTCTCGCACGATGATAACAAGCTAAAAGTTGTAATCCAATTTCTGGAGTTTTTACAGTATCGTGATTTGTTTCTCTCTTCTCTTTGAAAGAATTGTTTCCAAACACGTAACTGTCCTAACTGTCCGAAATTGAATAGCAAGCCTTCCCCAATCAAATTCCCATCGAGCTTCTGAAATGCTTCAGATATGGTTCTCTGTTTGATCTCCTTCAACCTCCATTGTCCACTCTTCTTCTCAGCCTCGTGGAATCCGTACAAAATTACTCTCCTTCTTTCTAGCCACTTATGGGCTTTTTCTGATTCAAAATTGGTTCTCCTTAAAAGTGTGTTGGGCTAATTAGCCATTGGGTCATGCAACATTTTACTTCTCATGGTTTTAATAGAATATCGTTTATTCCAAACAAACGTAGTAGACTAAACTATTTTACATTTTATATTAGAATTCGTATAATATAATGTTTTTAAATAACATTTTTTAAACGAGTTGTTTGCATTATTTTAACTATATATCACTTTTCTAAATTTTAATTGTATAAAATAAATATAAATATTTTTAAAAATATTTATTATATGTAGCCAAATTATTTATTTCGAGTAAAATAAATTATTTATTTCATGAAATACATTATATAACAGTTATGTGATTATGTAAACCATTTAAATAGAATTTTTAAATTAACTTGAATTATATGTCTTTTAAATAAAAGTATTATTAAAAAAAAATTAATTTTACGGGACGGAGTTATATGGTGGAAAGGGTTTTGGTCTTTTCCTTCTTTATCTTAACATGACTATAAGCAAAAAAATCGACCCGATTTGGTGGGACGGGTTTTGGTCGATATTAATACGGGATGGTATACCATGGGTGAAATTCTAGAATTAACAATCAAAATATAATTATACAATCTTAAACACTAAAAATAAATGTATCTTAAAAATTTATATGTTTTAGTTATAAATAAAATTGATCCGCGGTATACCCAAAATCAAACATAAATTTATACGAATAAAACATACAAAAGATAATTAAAGGGTTTGTAATGTTTTAAACTTTGTTTGGTTTTTAATATTTTGTAAAAATTATGTAGTATCAAATAAACATGTTGTTAACACGAAATATGCAATGCAATCTATATTATTATCCTACCATTATGTTTAGTACACCAAGCAACTTTAAAATATTTGATATTTAAACTATAAATAGATTAACATAAACTAATGTAGACTCACAATGTAAAAACTAAATGCTCTTACACTTTGAATATAGCAATTTTTTGTAATTAATAAACTGTAAATAATCAAATTTACATGCCAACACCAACAAAACATACAAAATAAATACAACAAATTAGCTTAAAATAAAATTATAAAATTAATTAAATATTTTAACCCGCGGTGTACCGCGGGTCATATCCTAGTATACAATATTTAATTAGGACATCTCCAACGTGGTTTCTCATCTTATTTTGTTGTCATCCGTTTTTAATTGAAACTCAAAAGAGTCATTCGGGAATAATGTTGTTTACATATGTGATATGATGCAGTTCAGTACGAATTTTTCGTACCAAGTTATCCGCTTTAACATTTGCACAACGAGAGATTAAAGATAAAGAAAAACTTGAAAATTCATCATTGTCACTCTTAATTAGAGCATTTCCAACGTGGTTTCTCATCTAGAGACTCTTATTAAAATATTGTAAAAATAAAAAAAAAACGGAAGAGAAAGATTAGAAACGTATCTTAAATGAGAGACTCTTGGAAACGTATCTCAAAACTTTTGCTCCACGTGTCTATTGGTAACTAATTTAAATCTTTTAAACAAATAAAAATTAAATTAAATAATTAAAATACACAAAAAGTATTATTATTTTAATTGAAAGATATTCTCAGAGCAAACGCAGTGGAGTATTTTTTATGCGGGTGTGAGGATTAAAAAAAATATATATATTCAAATAGTTGGCATCCGGATGTTAACTTACAACTTGTTTGGCTTAGGTGTGAGATTACATGGCATGCTGTGATTGGCTAGTTGTGAGAAAGTAAAAAAAAAAAATAATTTCTCTGAGTCTTTTTCTCTCTCTTCATTAAATTTTTAACCTTATTTTACTAATTAATTTGCCTAAAGATGTATCTTCCAACTTATACCACTGCCTATGCTCTCATCAATCCTAAAACGTATGAATGTGCGCTGAAGACAACTCCATTGGGTATCTCTTATCCTAGACACTTCCCATTAAAATATAAAAAAAAAAGAAAAAAAAGATGAAAAAGTGGAGAAACGTTTCTCTAGAGAAACCATATCTACAAATGTCTATTTTTCATTGGTTCAAACTAATACATAATTAAATTATATAAAAATAATATTATTGTATTACTCAAATACCCAAATGGGTTTTTACCTGATCAGGGTGTTCTTAGTGATCGTATTATCCATCACTTTATATATTCATTTAATGGTTGTATTATTGCTAATTTTTTTCTTTTTAACATTTTTATTTTATTTTTAAAAAGGGTCTTTGTTTTCTTTGCACATCTTTACTAATGCCATTCTGAATTGAATTCTTTGCACATTCCAATGATGCCTTCAGCCACCAAAGCCAAAATTTTCACCCTTATAACGAAGTTCCCTAGTACAACTAGTGTTTAGGACTACATGCCTATATACCACTGCAATACCATCTACAAAGTTATCTCTCAAGTTCTAGTTTCAAGGCTTTGTATGTTCGTTTAGTGGTTGTATTATATTCATCAATCATAATTTTTGTAACACTCCGGTTTCAAGAATATGGTGGTATATGCGGAGAGGTTTAAAAGAATTGATTTGGCCACATATATCACCAAAATGCATTTATCTTTTCGGTCAACTGTCTTGAGAGAACTCCACATTTAAGAGTGGTTGAGCTGGAGCAATTTCAGGATTGGTGACCTTCCGGCAAGTAATTGTCGGAACCGTGTGTGTGAGGACAAAACACAGGAAAATATCATGTAGTGATTTGTAGGGTCGGTAAACAACTTTTTAAAGCTTCCCGAACTTAGCGGACCGACCGTCGTAAAATGGTGGGCCCACGGGCTTGAAAGGACGTGGGTTCTCAATGGTAGAGGCGGTCGGAGCGTTACAAGTGGTTTCAGATCCAAACCCAGATGAGTGTGGAGTCAAGAGGGCTCACACCATCGGAGGTGACGGTCTTGGTGCCTAACGAGGACGTTGCGATCTCTTAGTGGTGGTGAATTGTAACACCCCGGTTTCAGGAATATGGTGGTGCATGCAGAGAGGTTTAAAAGAATTGATTTGGTCACCTATGTCACCAAAATGCACTTATCTTTTCGGTCAACTGTCTGGAAAGAACTCCACAGTTAAGAATGCTTGAGCTGGAGCAATTTAGAATGGATGACCTTCCGGGAAGTGATTGTCGGAACTGTGTGGGTGAGGACAAAACACAGAAAAAGATCATATCGTGATTTATAGGATCGGTAAACAAATCTTTAAAATTTCTCGGAAGTAGCGAACCAGTCGTCAGAAGATGATTAATCCACAGACCGAAAAAGAACGTGGAGCCCATTAGAAAAGATGACGGTCGGAGCCTTATAATTTTTCTAATTGCATGTTCTATATATGGCCGTACATACTGAAATAAATATCTTTAAAAAATTATTTGGTCTTAGTGTTAACTAAGAATATCAGTAAAATTCTAAGATAATTTAATATTTATAATGAAAAAAAAACATTGTTGAATTTTAAAAGGTTCGTAGTATTATTACATATCGTGATTATTAGTGGATTCAAGAAGGTTTTGATTGAATTTCCACAACGTGAAAAGACAAAGAAAGCCACCGTTCGCAGAACACAATTCCATGAACACAATCAATCATATCAATAATTAATTACGATTTGTTTAAGGCTACTGTTTTTCGATGTGTTGATATATGGATGACGAGGACATGCATGCAGTGGTCATTATATGCATTTTTTCAAACCTAATACTTATCATTGTATTGTATGATAAGAACTTTGAAAACGTGAATAATGATTTACGACACAATCTAATTCAGCAGTAGCAAATATCGATTAACCTAACGTATATAGAATTCTATTATCTTTGTGAATGTTTAAGCTGAATTTAACAAAATATTTATAATAATAACAATCTGAATAAATATTTTTTACGGTTACGAATTTTGGTTAGAGTTCTTCATAATTTCTTTATAGATTAAAAATTTATTACTTTGTTCATAGTAAACTCATGCTTCTTGCTGTATGGAGATGATTCAATCTCGCGGTTCTAAAAAGATATAAGAAGAATCATGATTGTTCTTTCTCACTAATCATATTTGTATATATATAAAACGAACTAATTAACACTCATTCAATGTAAGGAAATTCCAAAGAATAATTAAAAGAATTCCTAATAAATCTATAAATCAACTGAGATGCAATTTCGTTTGATATTACAGGTGAAGGTATCAAATAGGCTCGTATGGTAGATTGGTTTAGTTAGCCAAATGGAATTAGCTAAGGATGTTTATAAATATATAAGCTCTCATATATTATAATATAACTAAGTAATACTAAGATTAGATTTGTTTACTTTCAAGTTTCGGACATACGAAACACTAATAATCGGCTAACTCTAGGTTATAGGATTAGTTGGCTAAAATTCCTATACTCTGTTACCCAACTGACATAGGAAACGACGCAAAGATCAAAGCTGTAAGACCAAGTTCGATTCTAGTTCATAAAGCTCTATAACTAAGTGGTGTGTGATTGTTATAACACGATTCTTACAATCATCCCAAGAATTGACCAAATGAGATGGTAATGCTCTCTCCCATTGGCTTGCTTTTTCTCCAAGAGAAAATGGAAACAAAATGAGCTTGATACTATCTTCGGGCACACCTCTAATCCTAAACGTGCTACACAACCTCTCAAACGAGTCCAAATGATCATAAGGATTCTCTATAGCTAGCCCCAAGAACTTAGAGCCTTGAATTAATCTAATCAAACTTGCCTTGATTTCATAAGCATTGACTTCAATTAGAGGAGGTCGGATTCCATATCTTGATTCATAATGAGGAGCATCAAAGCTTCCTATTGTGGGTGTGTTCTCTCGAGCATGAGTCGTATTTGATATCAATTCTTGAGGTTGTGGAGCTTGAATAATGTTTGTATGATTGTCCACATCCAACACCTTAAATGATCTTGTCTTCCCATTTTTCTTTTTTTTTGATTTGAGTACCTTTGAAAGCATAAGAGAATCAAGGAAGACAAATTAGTAACAATAAACA